ATTCAATTCAACACATTATAAGACATGTTTAGCAAAACTAAACCATTGATTGCTATTTATATGTTAAGTGTTATAACTTATGAGAAATGCAGGACTTTTGTAGAGTAACCAAACGTACTCTTCTCAACGAAATACAGTTTTCTATTTTACTTTTAATAGTTTGTCAAACACTACTCTATAATGTGTAGAGAAGGAAATGTGGCATATATTTAAAGTCGATAAAATACAATAAAATTTTTGGAGCTTTGTATTATACAATTTATAATACAAAAATCATTGTCTTATTTATGTATTTTTACTTACTACGGGGGAAAAATTAACATAGTTTATAAAACCACAATTCGGGTGATGCTCAAAGAATAGCTTAACATTATCAGATTAGCATAATACTGTATGAGTCCCATAGACTTAGCGTTACCCATAGGATTGCCATACGATTAGCATTTCCATAGACTTAACATTGTTCGTAAATTTACCATTATCCATAGGATTGCATTAGTCCAATAGGATAAGCATTAGTCCCATAGACTTAACATTTCGCATAGGATAACATTAGCCCCATGTTAAAGTAAACCCATTTAATTTAAGCTGGAATCCCATGATAAATGCCATGGGGCAGTGCGAGAGGGGTGGGGGAGTCTATAAAACGATTCTATAAAATTTACACTATAAATCACATTTTCATATATGAATTGTGATTAAAAATATTTCAGTTATTCCGTTTCAATATTACCATTTTGACCATGGGCAACAATATTGCATTTACTTTTACTTCAAATGAATTAAATCTACAATAATTGTTAACAATTGTTAATACAACAGTAATATAGCATTTCAACTAATAATTACATTTTAATTATGATATGAAATGATTGGCAAATTACTGCTACTCTTATAAATCTTTTACATCATATTTAATATAAAACTTTAATTTGAAATGCAATTCAATTAGTGTTGTATTCGTGCAGACAATCACATAATAGATGTCGCTTTCATAGCATTCATACAATGCATACCATTTTCACAACATTTCATCACATGTTTGGTTACAATTGTATTGAATTAATGGTTAAATTCAGTGATATTTGAAATATTTGTTACAATTGATGACAATTTGTGTCAATCATTGCATTAATGGTTGAAAGTGTGGATCAATTGTCTAAAAGTGTGGACCAATTGTCTGAAAGTGAGGACCAGTTGTCTGAAAGTGAGGACCAATTGTCTGAAGTGAGGATCAGATGTATGTTTGGGACGGAAAGGGAGGCGAAGACAGCGTATAATGTGTTAAGTGTTGACAAGAAGTACAATAATAGCAGAGATTGTTCACAAAGAGTGAGATTTAGTGACAATTTATTGTTAATTTCATTGAAGAGTAAATCGTTGAAGAGTTTGAGGGTTTGTGTGAAGAGTTTGTTTGAATCGTTGGATTCAATCATAGATACGATAGACGTGTTTGACGACTGAAGAGTTTGAGGGTTTGTGTGAAGAGTTTGTTTGAATCGTTGGATTCAATCATAGATACGATAGACTTGTTTGACGTGAATGGAGGCCAACACTAGCGGACAGTTTGGCCAACAGTTGGGACCATCGGATCGGTGGCCGAACCCGAGTCCAAACACCGGGCGTTGTATTTACGGATTTGTCCTCTTTTTGGTCGCAATTGTAATGCTTTTGTTGTACTTCTTGTACGCAATGACTGCCCGAGAAGTGCAACAATCCATTGGTTTGACATATTTTGAGCGCAAGTATTGGTCCATAGCTTTGCCGACAAACATCTTGGTCTCACTCCTAGTCCTAACCGCTTGTCTCTACCCATCAATCAACTACTTGTCCACCCCTTCCCTCAATCACTGCAACACTATCTTCGACTCCAATACCACTCAACCACTTGTCAACACTTCCCAAGACATCACTTCCAAAGC